CCCCCCCTTAGTGAAAATTTAAAGAAGAAAAACTTGACCGGAGGAAATAATTTGCTAATGAAATTTGACCTGAGGGAGACGGGAGTAAAATTGATCCACCTAATATTTTACTGAAAATAAAATTAATTTATTGAAATTTGACCCCAGTTATTTTTTCCTAGTGAAATTTTACCCCCTTTCCCGGCCAATAGTATCACAAGGGTCCATAATCACGTTATTGTATGCATATTGTATTTGCATAATGTATAAATATTTTATGAGTGTAATAGAAAAATCAGCAATATTACAATGGCGGATCGGAAGGTGAGTGATGGAGACGACCGACACTCCCACCCCCCCGTCTGCTCTTCAATATACTCTTAGCTTCATTTAACACATCATAAATGTATTCTTTACATGAATTTTCGAAAAACCTCCTCACCATCATCTCGCCCTGGATCCGCCCCTGCAATATTATGTACACAAATATCCGCTCTTATATCTTTTCTCTAATATCTTTTCCGCTCTTAGAACATTTCGTGAAGTGTCATCTGTTCAGAATGATCTCGAAAAGCCGAAATATCAGAAATTCCCGAAAAACGATACAATGCCAAATAGCATACAACGTATATTATTCGGAATTTCGCCCGTTGGATTTCAATGAGATTTTCGAATTTTCACTTTTCGGACTATTAGGTTTTTGTAGGTTTTTCCGAATTTCCCAACGAGTATTTAGCGCAATTATTGTCATAAACGTTGTCGACGACTGCACAGTTTCAGATCAAAACGCGTATCGGAACAAGTCGATTTTTCCGTTGTACTTAACAAATTATTTCGTCACGCGTTTTATTTATTCCCGTCCCTCCCCACTCCCTCCCGTTATTATTTTAACTAGAATATTTTCGCGTTTAATTCAATTGCTCCGATATAGAATATTATCCGTTAAACATTCCGTGAAAACATTCGAGTAAGTACATTTTTATATTACTAAATCTATATGGAAAACCTTTTTCTCCGTCATAAAAATTTGTCTTTTTTACGGTAACGCGCGTATTGTATATAAACACTGAAATACGCGGATCGAGACACCGTCGAGTCCCGTGCGATTCGCCTAAAGAAAATGCAAAAATGTTAATAAAATTAATACCCAAATTGTGTAAGGGTATTATCGAAAATTCGAAATAATACGATTCAAGAGGACGACATGATCGTGATGCTAGAGTGTGTTGTCTTACAAACGTACGACAAAGCAAATTTGCGTTTGTCGACTTTGTGCTGACGTAAGTTTTCATATTAAAACGAATCGACTTACTATCAAACTTAGTGAAAAGAACGGTGTTCGCGCAACTGCGTAGGTTTTCGTTTGATGCGTCAATTCGTGATCGAGATACGAGTGTGCAAAGTAGCCGGTACATATGAAAATGGGTATTTAAAAACCACTTATACCTCGTTTAAAAATTGAAATATCAACAAACGACAAAAAAACACCGACATAGTTGCACGGATAATGTTCTTGATGTCTCCGAGTTTTGATAACAGGTAGATTCATGGCGACGTCAAATTTATACAAACAACACCGAAAAGGTTGTGCCTGATGAACGCAAATTCGCTTTCGTAAACGTGTTGGTTTTTTTTTTTTTTTTTTAAGACGGATGCAACGCATGAAAATAATATTAAGAGGACATAATATTATTCGATTATTTATTTATTTATTCCTCGGAATACAATTGTCCAATTCTCCATATTAACCTATCCACGATGTGTAATATAATTATATATATATAAGATAATTTGACGATCGGTAAGATAATATAGAGATATTATTATAGAGATAATTTTGAACGTTGAGTTCCGCGGTTTAAAAAAAATTATTAAAAAAATATTGCAACAATAATAATAATCGTATCGTATAAGAATCCAGTTAAAAAAAATTGTTATTATTATTGTATAAAATAATAAGACTATACGTATTTAAAACGATAATATTATTATGTATTATATTGTAATGTGACTGATTATTAGAATGTTTTTTTTTTTTTTTTTTTTTTGTCTCGTGCGATTAGTGAATTTATATTTTATCCGTATAGAAAATTTATATTATTAGTGAAATATAATCATTGTTAAATACCTGCCTGTACGGCCTATAGCTAATGCGTATCGAACATATACCCGTGTACCCGCACTTATCTATGGTTCATAACACCGTGTTAACCAATCGGTTTGGTGTAATCGCTATTACCCGTAGACGTAATTCCGTTGTCGTTTCCGTTTTATCCCCATACCCATCGCTCCCCGGCCGTCCGCTATTTCGTTTTGTTTTTTTTTTGTTTTTTTTTTTCCCCCATTCCGAAACATACCTTTTTACCTATTTATAATGTTTTATCGTAGCGTCTATAGTATGTATGTATGTATGTATATATATATATATATATATATGTACGTATAGTATACTACATAGGTAATGGTAAACAATAACTATATTATTATATTATGCATTTAAAAAAAAAAAAAAAAATAGTTATATTATAATTATTATTATTATTATTGTTAATATTATTGTGCTGAAATAAAGACGGTTTTTTTTTTTTTTTTTTTTTTTTTTTTTTTTTTG